TTTAAAGTGAGCCAGGGGAGGTTTGGGTTGGATGTGAGGAGGAAGTTTTTCATGCAGAGGGTGGTGAGGCAGTGGAACAGGTTGCCCAAGGAGGCTGTGGATGCCCCATCCCTGCAGGCATCCAAGGCCAGGCTGGATGTGGCTCTGGGCAGCCTGGGCTGCTGGCTGGCGACCTGCACACAGCAGGGGTTGGAACTGATGAGCGCTGTGCTCCTGTGCAGCCCAGGCCATGTAGGAGTCTGTGATTCTATGAGAAGACCAAAGAAACTGAGCTCTGCCCTGCAGTGGATGAGTTTTACAAGAACTGTGGTTTAAAGTAGTCAAGAATTCAGCCGACCCACAGGGAAGCGGTTTCTGTAGCTGAATTCTGTACCTCTCTGCGTCTGCAGCTGTTTGACCCCGCAGCTCAGCCTGCTGCAGCTGTCCTCTGCCCACGACACAACGGAGCCCTTGATGCGGTTCCTCAGGGTGCACCCAGACACATCGCCAGCTCTGCGTCCCCCCACAGCCCCCCGTCAGCACACCGCCACCAGCACCGACCCCACGGCACTGCGGTGCAGCGCCATCGCACCCATGCACTGCACACCAAACCCCTGCAGCCCGGCGTCCTTTGTGCCCTGCATTCCTGCAGCCCTGCATCTCTGGAGCCCTGCATCCCTGCCTGCACTGCATCCCTGGAGCCCTGCAGTCCTGCATCCCTGTGTCCCTGGAGCCCTCCTGTGTCCCTGGAGACCTGCATCTCTGGCTGCCCTGCATCCCTGGCTGCATTGCAATCCTGGCTGCATTGCAATCCTGGCAGCACTTCATCCTCGGTGCTCCTGCATCCCTGGCAGCATTGTGTCCCTGGCAGCTCTGCATCCCTGCATCTCTGGCTGCCCTTCATCCCTGCCTGAACTGCGTCCCTCCATCCCTGCAATCCTGCGTCCCTGGAGCCCTGCATCCCTGGCTGCATTGCAATCCTGGCAGCATTGTGTCCCTGGCAGCACTGCATCCCTGCATCCCTGTGTCCCTGGAGCCCTGCATCTCTGGCTGCCCTTCATCCCTGCATCCCTGCGTCCCTGTTGCCACCGCGTCCCTGGCAGCCCCGCATCACCACCCCCGCCCCCCCCACAAGGCTGCAGTTGTGCCCACACTGCAGCCTGCAGCACCGCACGCACAGCCGCTGCGTCGCCGCCCTTTAATGGCTCAGGCCAGGAAGAGCGGCCTGCCGTCCTCCCGCGCCAATTCCCGCAGGCACTCGAGCAGCACCAGCGCGTCGGCCCTCAGCGTGGGGGGCACCACGGCCAGCATCGCGTGGCGCAGCAGAGCGGGGCCGGGCGGGGGGCCGGGGGGCTCGGGCAGCTCGCGGAGGATGCCGTAGGTGTTGACCAAGGACTCCGCCAAGGCGGGGTGCACGGCGGGGTTGTACCCCAGCAGCTTCAGGCGCTCCATCAGGGTGACGTAGCGGTGGCTCAGCGCGGCGCAGCGCTGCTCATCGAAGGAGCTGGACGTGGGGTTGAGCACCGACTGCAGGGATGGGGGCGCGGGGTGGGGGCAGGACGGACAGAGGGACGTCGGTGGAGGGGCCAGACCGGCCCTGTTCCACGAATCACACGCCATCTCCATCCCCATCCCATTACAATCCCAGTCCCAGTCCCGATCCCAATCCCCATCCCCATTCCCATCCCATTCCAATCCTGTTTCATGAATCCCCTCCCCATCCCATCCCCATCCCATCCCCATCTCATCCCCATCCCCATCCCCCTCCCATCCTCATCCCCATCCTCATCCCATCCCCATCCATCCCCATCCCCATCCCATCCCATCCCATCCCCATCC